CCCCTCCCAAGGACCCTCTACCCGTTGACCCGCACAGGGCACAACACGACCCCCTGGATGCAGGGATTCCACTTGACCATTACAACCTGCTGGTAGGAATGGGAATTCCAAGAAAAGACTGGCCAGCCCTCAAAAGGCTGCAGAGGACATTCCTGCATGGTTTAGGACCTTCATGCAGACGTGTCCACACACGAGGGAGGTTTGTGGTGGGCACCTTACCTTGCACCACTCCCCACGGGTACTGCCGGGCTCTCACCAGCTTGTTCCCAACCTTCACCTCCTCCGTGCTGCCGACCACGGCGAAGGGCAGATGGGCCTGCAACAGAGCTGAGATCACAATTCTGTACTCTGAGGGTGCCAGAGCCCTGGAAGAGGCTGCCCAGAGAGGGTGTGGAGTTTCCTTCTCTGGAGACATTCAAAACCTGCCTGGACACGTTCCTGTGCGACCTGCTCTGGGTGGACCTGCTCTGGCAGAGGGTTGGAGGAGATGGTCCAACCACCAGGTCTGAATTTAATCTTTGAATTTCAAAACAGACAGAATAGAGTCTGACAGTTTTTCTTCTTTGTTTTAAATTGGGTTTTCTCTGTTTAGCCTCCTTAAGTCAGAAGGCTAATGTCAATCTTAACTGTAAAATTTTTATTCATAATTTCTCCTTACTCAAATGAGAAGTACTCTAAAAGCAGACAGAATGAATTTCGAATAAAGTATTTTTCAAAAATTCAGTAAGATGAATTTTGGAGCTGAGCTGAGTTTCTCCAGAGAGCCCACGGATTAAACGAGAGCCACGTTTTAATTAATTCTGTACACAATAGCCTTGGGCATCTGTCAGATCCACAGCTCAACTTTCAAACAGATTTAGCATCTGGACAATTCCACTGAAAGTTGCCCTTCAAATGCATTTTTGTGCAGTGATTTAATTTGTCACAACTTCTGTGGGCATCACGATGGGCAGTGTTACTCACGTTCATCACAGAGTTGATCTCAGCCACCGCTTCGTCGTCCGTGGGGAACTGGTAGATCTGCACACCATTGCTGACCAGCTCACTCATTATCTTTATCTTGAACTTGTGCAATTCGCTCTTGGAGATGGTGTCTGCTTTGGCAATAATGGGGATGATGTTCACCTGCGGCAGAGAGAAAGGAGGAAGGAAAAATAAGCAGGTGAGCAGCAGCTGGGCAAACAGCTCTGCAGGGAGGTGGGAGCCCGTGGGGTGACCCCAGTCCTACCCCCCTCTGGCTGCTTTATATTTCCATAAAACCACAAAGCTGCTCTGTTTTGCGTGCGAGCTGCAGCACGAGCCCAGCTGAACGCTAGAGGGAAGAGTTTTCCAGGACTAATTTGGCTATGAGACTTCCAGATAAACCAAACTCCCCGCGATAAATACCCGATGAGCAGATCAAAGCCTCTGCTCTCACTTCTGTGTTTTGTTACACGCTGGGAGGGAGGCAGAGATGGTGTAACTGTCACACCTCCAGTTGTCACCTATCGCTCCTGGCTGTGCTGAACAAGCCGCTTTAAAGACAAGGGCAAGGCTGGGAGGCTGCAGTGAGCTGATGGGAAGCCTTCCCCTGCTTCAGAAGGAGCAGCAGCTCCTCAGATGCTTTCACAGCAGTGGTGGATCCCTTCCCAGGACTCCTGGGGCCTCTCCGTGAGGATCACAACCTGGGCATGCTGTGGGGATTACAGGCACCACCGGGGAAAGGCACAGGGTGCCCCAGGGCAGGCAGGAGAGCTGGTCTCATGCTGTCCTTTGCTCAGCTTTGGTTTCCATCAGCAGACACCGAGCACAAGACACAGCTCCATTGCACAAAGCCACCCGTGGGGTGGGGAGGTCCCCCCTGCACTCAGTACTTACAGCAAACAAGGGCCACGTCCCACATCCTTCAGGGGGGGATGTGGTTTCGCTGTGACCCCAAGCTTTGAAGAGCTACAGCAGGGCAGGGTCTGTCGCAGGAACCTCTATTAGATAATGCTGCTGTGCCCAGAGAAGCCAAACACAATACTGCAAACCACTGCTTCAACAAACACCACCACACAGCCCCCCCAGCCTGAACAGCGGCCGAGCTCAGAGCAGCCAAAGACAAGGATTCAGAGAAACGAGGGGAAAGTCTGATTTGCCATCTAACATTTCCCAACAGCCAACGCTTCTCGTCCTGCAGAGCAGAAAATTCACAGCAGCCATTCGGTCTCCAGTGGGTGCCCATTAAAACAAATAACCCTGTTTCCCAGCTCCAGTTCTCTTTGTAGCTCAGTGGTTTTTTCCATACTTCTTGGGCTTCCCCCCCACCCCCAAATCCCCCTCTGGTTTAGCACTCCCTAAATACAACAGCATTTACTCACTCCAAAAGAAAACAGTCTTAATTTGCTCATTGCAAATTTATCTGAGAGGATAAATTCCTTCTTTTTCTCAGCTGCCGATCTGGCCTCTGTTACCAAGGACCACAAACCCAGGCAGAACCCTGTCTGCTGCTCACTCCTCTCCTCGGCAGGCTGATGGCCTCATTGCAGAGGTGAAAGGGGCCACGAGCACAGCTGGGTGCCTTGCTGACCTGCCAAGAGCCAAAGAGGCTTCGATCCACCATCTCCCACAGAAAAGGGGTCAGCTCAGGACTCACGGGCCACGCTTGGGAGCAGGATCTGTGAGAGGAAAGCTCTCCCGCCAGGGAGCTGCCATCTGCAGGGCTTTGCACTCCCCAGCCAGCCAGGCACAGGGACAAACCAACACAACAGGAGATTTTAGCCCATTTTCAGTTGGTCTAAGCAATTTCCCCCTCTTCTCCTAAAAAGCAGCATCTCAGCCCTGCTTACAGCAGGAGGGGCAGAGCCCGGAGCTCGGCAGGGCTCTCCCAGCAGCAGGAGAAGGCAGGACCTGCCACCCCAGCAGCACTCAAACAAGGTGCAAACAGGTGAATTCAAGTCACCTCCAACAAGGTTCCTGAGGCTTTGAAAAGGCAACTCAGTCACAGAGTTCACAACCCAAAAGGATTTCACAAGTTGTTGTATTTCCAGTTATCAGTAGCCAACATCCATAGTGTGGAGTCCTGGAAATGGCATTTGAGTGCCTCTTTCTCCTTCTCTCCTCTTCCCTTGAGAGTTCCTTAGTTTTTTTAATTATTACTGTTTTTATTTTGATTTCATGCATTCCTTAGAAACCCATAAGCTGGAACCCCACAGTTAACAAGTGACACGTGGAGCACCATTCAATTATCTTCCTGTTTTCCTTTCTCTGATTTTGAGCACTGGCACCCAAAAGCTGTCTAAGTCCAGAACGAGCTCATCCCTTTACAATAAGGAGAAGGGATGGAAAAGTTTGGAAACAAGAAACGAATGAGATGCCACCGAACCAAAGTGCATGTCTAATCCTGCCCTCCCACAGCACCTTCCACACATCCATTTCTGTGCAAAGGCCACAGTATGTAGCACCGAGATTAGTGCCAAATAAACTGATAATACAGTCACCTCCCTGAAAAGCTTTCAAAAACCCAATAAAAGGAAGCGATGCCAGAACCATGCAAGGTTTCTGTCTCCTCTCTCACTTTTACACAAATAACGTTTACCTGGGGTTGCAGGCAAAATCCCAGAGCAACATCCTTGTATCTCATGGTGGAAGAGCAATGCTCTCTATTTAAAGATCTAGTAATAAAATGATGAAGTTAATTACTGGAGTGTCATCCCACTGAATGTGACAGGGGTGCAGTGTGCCCTTGACTGTCAGTCCACGTGCTGGGAGTCTCTGCTGGAGCTGGAATTGTGACCAGAGGAAATCTGTGCTTCAGACGAGACAGTGAACTCACAGGCGCATGCAAAAAATGCACCTCATTCTCAAGTCGTTCTGACCACAGAGTTATTTCTCATCTCCAAAAATGAAACTCACAAGAACGTGCCAAAATAAGCCAGTTGGTAGAAAACAATTTTGTTAATATAATCAGGCTACTTGCATTTTCACCCTGTGAAATACAGCTGGATCTTTCCCTGTCTCCAAAGCGTTCCTGAATGCAAGTCCCAGTGAAGCCAACGGGCAAATCCCACCTTGGAAACCAAACAGGAGAGGCCCAAACCAGCCTGAAGTGTCCCCACTGGCCAGTGACCCACCTCGGACCTGTCAGAGCACGAAGGGCAAGCAATTACCCACAGCTCGTTAAGAGCACAGGCCGACTGGAGACCATCCAGGGACAACGACCAGGGAGCCCCAGGATGCCCACGGCAGCGCCCAGCTGGGCCATCACTTTCCAGGGCAGGGCCCTTTTAAATCAATAAATCGTGTTCTCATCTGATACAGATGCAATTTTATTGATCTTATTTATTCATCCTCTCCTTTTCCTGGGTTAAACCCAGTGGAAAGCCAACCCCTGCCAGGTCAGACGTGCTCCCCGCCCACCAGCCAGCCACGTGTCCCCTACCCAGAACCACTTCTGAAGATGCTTCTAGCTCTCGGGCTGTAATTAAATACCCCAGACAACAGCTGCCCAGGAGCTCAGCCAAACAAATATTGTGTTACAGTACAATGGAAGGTTTACAAAACAGCTTTACCCAGAAGGGGTTTTGTAAACTTCGCTCTAGAAGCAAGATTCATTATTGAAATTGTCACACAGATTCAAAACCCTGCCCCACATCTGATGCCACACCACCGGTGTGCTAAAGCAGAGGTGGAACTGGGCCTGGTTCCTACAAACCCCTTGTTAAGCTGGTCTCACACAGCAAAGCACGGCCTCTGATGCACCTCTTGTCTCCACAGGCTCCATTCTTCAGGGATAAAAACCAGGGGCCACCAGCCACATCAAGCTTTCCCAGAGGAGAGCCAGGTTCAGGTGTGCTCACAGGACTGCAGACGTGGGTCAGAGCAGGTCACCGCTCCGCTCGGCCACCGAAACCCCTCGCTGTCACCTGTGGGGAGTTTGCTGACACCCCCTTCCTCTGCACGGATGGTTCACGTGGACTGGGAAAGGCACAGACCATCAGACACAAACCTTTAAGAGGTGCCTGGAAAGCACCTTGGTGTCCCGGGATGACACCGATGCAGAAATGCAACACAAAGCCCCGACACCCAGAAAATATCAGTGGTCTCTCCTCGCTTATTCATCCCCACGTGTGTGCTCTGTGAAGCCACAGCACGATGGAAGCCAAGACGTTCTCAGGCTGCGGTAAGAAAGGAGATGAAAGCAAAGGGCTAAAATGACTTCACAGAGGACTATTTAAGTGGAAGTTTAGACGTATAAAAAGCTTGTGTGTGCACCAAGTTCCCGTCTCTGCACAAGCACAAAGGATTTATTTTGGTACTATGCAAGGACCACATTAAAAGCAGCCACAGGGAGATGTGAAAAGGAGGGAATGCAGAAGGAAAGGAAGAGAAAAGCTTTGCGGGACCACCAGCACCAAGGGGAATCGTGCAGAAGCTTTCCTCCAAACATATTTCTGGGAACATGTAATGCTGGCACAGCACCAAGAGACAAGAGTTTATGAAGGGAAAGTTTTCGGATTCCTGATGAAGTCAGTGTAACAGCCACCACGGCTACAGAGAGCCCACTGCAGTGGGAAGGCAGCGCCTGCTCTGGAGTGGGGCCAAGGAAAAGCAGGCCAACAGCCCCGGGTGGGAGGGCAAACAGCAGGGACTCTGCGTGGGGAACTCTACCCACCAGGAAAGTCCGATAGAGCTGCATGTGGATGACAGCCAGAGAGGAGAGCATTCCCTACATGCAATCCAGGGGGTCCCCAGTTACTGCAGGGTCCCAGCTGCCCTGCCTGGCCCCTCTGTAAACTGGCCACCATCTGCCATCTGGAAGGAACCACCTCACTGCTAAAATACTGCTCCGAAAGACAGGAAATTCTTGCAAAGAAGAGAAGAGATACTGCTGCCACTGGTGACCTTTGAAACCTCCTGCAGCTCCCTGGAAACCAGCTGGAACAACCAAAAGTGTGTCAGAAACCTCCTCCGAGCTACAGGAATATCAGCAGTAACCAGTTAAGTAACCCACTGCCCCCTAAGGCAGAACAGCTCATGCACCAAGAAACAACCCCCAGCTGGACCCTCTCATGACCCACTTTTAGGATTCCTATGACCTTGAGAACTTTTCATCATATTTACATTTTCAGAAGACATTGTGACCTGCTCTCCAGATCATCTGGCACTACCAGCAGTGACAGCTCGTGTACTCTCTGTGCAGCAGCACACATGGCCAACGCTTCTCTTCAGCCCCAGCTCCTCTCCCCAGCTTTCCTGGAGCCCCTTTAGGTACATCTCAGCTAACATGCAGAAAGGGTTCCAGCACTTACACGGGAGGAACAAAACCTCCCACATGACAACTGATATTCACAGAAGCATCACCACTTCCAGAGAGAGGGACCATGCTGTCTCCAAGCCCTTACCTTGCTGTCCAACTTCTTCATTGTCACCAGGTCCAAGGACTTGAGTGAGTGCCCGGTGGGGGTGATGAAGTACAGGCAGACGTGAATCCTCGTGTCATGATAGTTGAAGAGAGATCGGCGGATTTTCAGCTCTTCTTGCAAATAATTTTCAAACTGCGTATCAATGTACTCTACTATCGGCCTGTAACTAAAACCATACAATTAGCAACCTGTACTGGATATCAAAATTAAGATACTGGGCCTCAAAATTAAACAGTTTGAAGGCTTAAGGAGTTCTCCTAGACATACCATCCTATCATTTAAAGACTAGTTATCACTCAAACAATTTAACCTCATACCAGGAAAAGTGTGGCATTTACACACAGACCTTGTAATCCAAAGTTTGCTGGAGTCTCCTGAGGCTTAGGCGCTGCCAAGCCTAAGGACAGCAGAGCATGGGAAGATGGACTCTCAGATCAGACTCTGCCCAGATCTCAGGGCTGAGCCATCTGGCTGCAGCAACGCAACTTGACCAAGGAGAGACCTTAGAGTCCCAGAAAGCCTTTACCTGGGGCTTGAGCAAGATGTCTGTGTAATTAAATGAGATGGGCCCAGAGACAC